TATAAAAACCCTATTTAATTCCTTATATTAAATAGGGGAACTTGTCGGCCAATACATTGGTTTCGCAGACCAAACGGATGTCATAACTTTCTTTAGTTTATTTGATAGAGCCTCACTCTCAATTCTTGTGTTCATCCTTCGGGATAGATACAGGATTTGAGATAAAGTGCTCTTTCATCTAAACTATGAAAATTATGGGGTCAGTTTGACTTTATCTTTTTTAAAACTATTTTTTTTTTTAAACGTCCTTTCGAAGCGGGCAACGGGATTTCAATTTCGATGACCGACAGCTTTTTACGAGCAAACCCCACACCAAAAAATAGTGCCGACAGTAGTCTATAGCACCTATCCCTAGTGTGCCCAAACATCTTGCAATGTTGACAATAGTAAGGTCTTTCCTCAAGGATTACCTCCTACCAAAAACCATCCTGTTCAGATCCTATCCACACTCTTTTAACTTCAAGCAAGGTGATATCTCTTTCAATGAGAATTCTACCAAGAGCAGGCCTTGCCTTGTTAAAAGTGTGAGCATCAACTTTAAGGGGTCTGCCTAAAGCAGATCCAATGTTAAAAAGGGCATTCAACTGGAAGTAAGGAATAGGGAGACCAGGAAGCTTGATCCAAAGTGGAACCATAGGAGGTTCTTTACTAGGATCAAAGTCAGGGGTCCATTTCAAAAGTTTCATGATAGCTCCCCCAGTAACTAATGACTTTTTGGTAAAAAGTTTAGCATAATCCTCTTCAATTGTCAATTGGATAAGCAAATGTCTGCCATCTAGTAACCCCAGTTGCCAAGCACCAGCAAAGTTTAAGGACTCAAAGAAGCTCCTAACCAGTTCCATCTTAGGGTGACCCAGCTAAAATTTTCCCACCAAAGTTAGCTTAACCTCCTCATTTAATGAGTTAACTTCCTGGGGAGAGAAATAAACTGTAGGTTCCCCCCTCCATACACTCAATGGGGTGAATACTGGGAGAGGATATTTTTCCAGCTAAAGTATCATGAAATTCTTGTGGAAACACTAATTTATCCATATTCTGTAACTGCTCCTTAGGTTGTCCAACCACCCCATCATAGGTGGCCTTGGCCCATTGGAGATTAGTTTCCAGAGCAATGCTAGTAGCCATTCAGAGTAGCAGCAACACTAGAGGAAAACTAGCAAACCACAAACCAATGGAATAATAAAACTAATGGAACTGTAACCCAAGGGAAGGCTAACACTTCCCCACCAAAACCAAAAGCAAGAGAGACCTTAACAAAGAAAATCCACCTCAGTCTCCAACAAGGTCACTAACACCAGCCCAATGGTGGCCCCAACACAGGTAAGGCAGGCAGACAAAAGGGCCAACTAGAAGAACAGCAATAAACCACTAACAATAATAGAAGAAAACGAACAGTAGGAAGAACCTTCAGCCCACCAAACAAACAGCAAGGAAGAAGACAAAGCCAAAACAAACAGCAAGGAAGAAGAGGAAACCACTCTCCCCCACCGGCCTACTAACCAGCCGGAACAGGGAGCCATGGAAACCTTAGCAGAGCACCAGCCACCACCCCAAATAGCTCCATTATATTCTCTTATATATATATATATATATATTGAAAACTTTTAACATAAAAAAAAACTTAAACAAAGAAGCTACAATATGATTTTCCAAATTTAAGTTTAATTAGTTCAATTAAAATTTTCCTAAGTCAAATTAACCATCGTACTTCCCCGGCAACAATGCCAAAAACTTGACCGACCTTTGATATACACATTGATTTAGGGATGAAATAATATAATTCTAAAATATATATAATAAATTTTATAACTAGAGCTTTTCTACGGTTTAGCACTACACACTAGGTATTTTACGCAAGTGCATGTATTGTTAGATTTTCTTTAGTCCAGATTATCAAGGTAGGTTGTGCTAACCACTCTCAATTAATTGGGAGTGGTTCTGCTTAACCACTCCCAATTAATGCACTGTTCATTCAATATGGCTGGCACGGTAGGCTATGTTACCTTTACGTATGTTGGATGCTCTAAATCTGCTAGGTAGGAGCTTTGGAAAGAGATCCATATTATGAAGGGCTTAACATACACTGCTTGGGTTGTGGGGGGGACTTCAATTGTATTGCATCTCTTGCTGAAAAGAAGGGAGGTAGAAATTCATGTATTACTACTATGACTGAATTTAATGAAAACATACATAATGCGGGTTTATTTAATTTGGGATATAATGGACCTAAATTCACTTGGAGAAAGGGAAAAATTTGGTAAAGGATGGATAGAATGCTGGCCAATGACAGTTGGATTCAGTAGTATTTGCAAACCAACCTAACTTACCTATGCCTAGTAGGATCTGATCACAGACCTATGCTGATCTCCTTATCTGCCAATGAACAACCTCCCAGACATTCTTTCAGGTATCTAAATGTCTGGTCAAGCCACAAAGAGTTTATACATATTGTAAAAGAGCATTGGAGGGTGTGTGATCATCCAAACCCTCTTATCAAGCTGTGGAATTTGCAGAAAAAGATAGCTAAGGCCTTAAAATTGTAGAACTGGAACACATTTGGGAATATTCTAAATGGTGTGGAGCAGGTTGAGAAGGAGCTAAAAATTTTGGAGAAAGAACACAGTATTGTCAAGGTGGATGAGGCCTCCCTCTTGGAGGCCCTCTGAGAAAGCAGTAAAAAACAAGTTCACTGATGGGGACAGAAACACCAAATTTTATCATGCTTGCATCAAATACCAAAGAAAATGCAATACTATTCACTCCATTAGAGATGCTCATGGTAACTGGATTAGAAATGATAAGGAGATTGCTGATAGTGCGGTGGCCTACTGTCAAGATCTTATGCAATGCAAACACTCTGAAAGGGAGTGGATTGATTCTGATTTTTTTAATGCTGATAAGGAATTAACTTTTAGATTGAACGTTGCTGAGATCCCAGAAGAGGAGGAAATCAAACAGGTTATTTTATTCATTGATAGTGACAAATCAGCTGGCTCTAATGGGTTCACTGTTGATTTCTACAAGAAGGCTTGGGAGGTTATTAAAGAAGATGTCATTAAGGCAATACAATATTTCATTCAGGGGCACCCTCTACCAGATTATTTTAGTGCAATCCCCATTGTTTTCTTTCCTAAATCTTCCCTGCAATAGAAGTGAAGCCATTTAAGGACTATTAGCCTTACTAGTGTGATAAAAAAAACCATTAGCAAAATCCTTGTGATGAGAATTCAACATATTCTACATCATTTGATTAGCCCCAAACATGCAGCCTTTGTGAAGGGAAGAAGTATAGGGGATAATGTTTTGCTTGCTTAAGAACTACTGTTGGACCTAGAGAACCCTTCCTAGGGGGCAATATGATTTTCAAGTTGGACTTAAAGAAGGCTTGTGACATGGTCAATTGGGGATTTATAATGGAGATTCGAAGAGCTAGAGGCTTCTTAAATGAGTCCTGTCAAACTATCAATAGGTGGTTGGAAGGAAATGCTAACTCAGTATTGATAAATGGAAATACACATGGCTTCTTCAAGGCCAATAGGGGTCTGAAACAAGGAGACCCTCTGTCCCCAACCACATTTATTCTAGAACTAGATTACTTGTCAAAACTTATGGACAGACCTTACTAAAGGAAGGGATATAGCATTTACCACAACAAATCTAAAATGGACATAAGCCACCTAATATATGTTGATGACATCCTGATTTTCTCTAGAGCCAAAAAAATAGCCATCAAAGCCTTCTATGATTGTATACAAAAATTCTAACACACATCTGGTCTAAAGGTAAATAAGGATAAATGAAAAATTCTCTTCAGCAAAAGAGATTCCATTGCATGCAGACAGTGGACCCTTGAACTTACATAATTTACTTCAATGCTACTCCTTTCAAATATCTGGGGGTTTATATAAATAGGGGAAGAACTAAAAAAACCCAATTTGATGAGATTGTGGATAAAACCAACACCACTCTTCAATGCTGGACAAATTCTTTTCGGTCAAATGGTGGCAGAATAACACTGTTGAAAAGCATCCTCACTACCTTTTCCATTTACATCCTACAAGTGGTTATGATGAAGAGAATGGCCCAATTGATTTTGGAGAGAACCTTCAATAGATTTCTATGGAAAGTTCAAAGGAAGCAAATGATTTGGGAAAGTTGGCAGATGGAGGAAAAACCATTATATGCTGGAGGATTGGGCTTTAAGAGACTCCAACAATTGCAAAATAACAGCATGTGCAGACTTTGGCTGAGGTTCAGGCACAAGGACAACCTTTGGGCACAGTTTATGCATTCAAAATACTACAAAATTGAATATCCTAATATGGTGTCTTTCAAGTTAGGTGACTCAAGGATTTGGAGACAGATGTTGAAAGTGAGGGAGAGGGCTGAGAGACTATATATATGGGAGATGGGTGAAGGTAACATAAATTTTTGGCTAGACAAATGGTTCCCTGATGGCATAATTGAACCTTTGGAAGAAAACCTTGATAAGAATCTATTGGTGAAGGATTGCTAGATTGACCAATCTTGGTCTGAAGAGATACTCCAAACAGTGCTATAAGAACATTCTATTAGAAAAGTTACCAGAATTCAGTTTGATAGCAACAGGCAAGACAAAGTGGCTCTAAAATCTACCTCCAACCAAAACACTACCTAAGCAATTTATAACATGTACTTCTGGGAAAAGATTCCTTGGGGTGAAAAAATGTGGAGAAATTTTCTAACAGTATCTATGGCTTTCTTCTCTTGGGGAGTTCTTAATAATATTATCCCAACTGATGACATACTTAAGCTCAAAGGCCTGAAGGGACCTTCTATGTGCCATCTTTGCAAAAATGATGAGGAGTCTTTTAACGACCTTTTCTTCCAATGTGTGTTCTCCAAAAATGTTTGGAACTCCCTGCTACATTACTTCCACATTAACACTATCAACTTGGGATGGAAAAGGCTGGATATTTGCTGGTTTGACTGGCATGGACTAAAGCTTGGACCCATTACCCTCAGTATTTCTTGGTTTATTTAAACTGCCATAAATAAAATGAAACATGATGATGTCGATGTAACTATTGGCAAGGTTGTGGCCATTTGCCTGGCTTTTATCAGTGAGCTAATCCTATGAAAAAATTTTCCCAACATATTGAAGATTAGCAGACATCTTGAGTAAAACAGTAGTAGGGTTATCAAGGTTTATTGGGAGAAACCCCCTTATCCTTTCATTAAAGTTAATATTGATGGAAGTTTTTCTCCCAACAAAGTAGGTATTGGGGGGTCTTCAGGGCCACCCAGGAAATTGTATGTTGTACTTCGAATCTTAAATCAGAGTTCAAGATGCAATTGAAGCTGAGACTGCTGCTCTTTCTTGAGCCCTTAAGCTGGCAGCCATTAATAGATGGACCCCCCTTCAAACTGAGGTGGATTCCTCATAGCTTGTAGATTACCTGACATGAAAAGCTTCCCCCTTTTAGCACATTCAACATTGGATAACCCAGATGCATCACTTCACCAATGAGATAAGAGTATACTACTATTTTAATTATAGAGAAGGGAGAAGACTAGCCAATTCATTACTGACAGATGGTACTGACTCCCAGTTGGTTGTTGTATCTACAAATACTCCCCCACTCTTAGCAAGGCAGCTACATAGAGACAAACTACATGTTCCACATCTCAGAATAGTGACAACTACTTAAATTATTAGGGTGGATGTTGTTTTGGGAATTCTTTTGAAGCTTTTTAGGCTTGCTTGTATTTTGTAGATTTTCTCCTTTTTTTCCTAACTTTCCTGTTGTATTTTCTTCTCTTGTGTTGTAATGTCATTTTGATATTATCAACATGGAGGGAG